CCAGTAAAGTCAGTAAGGCTGGGAAATTGACCAATCACAGTTCATTATTCGACTTACGACATCCAATGTAGACCCAGCCTTACTGACTTTACTGGCGTGCGAAAAACGCAGCACCAGTAATTTTCATTGCTACCAACTATACTGTTTTCACTGGCAGTAACTAAATCCATTTTCGAACACATCCTATGTCGATGGGCGACGAACTGCGCCACCTTGGTGTCACGACTGCGATGAGAACTTGCAATTCAAAATGCGAGTACGGATGGTAAAGAGAGAAGAAATATACATATTTTGAAATATTAATTATAAGGGGATGCTGGAGTGATTCCGCACTTTTAGGAGCTTAACAAGAAGTCTATTCACTCGAATAAGTGTTAGGTAACCCATAACTTGTTCGAGTGAATATAGATTTTTGTTAGCTTCTAAACTTAATTTTAATAATACCATGCTGTTCTCTGATTTAGTCCGAATATTATAGTGGAACACTGTCGGTTCGTACACAAAAGCCACATAATTAGTATATTACAACAGAAATGTTTTCACGAATTCACAGTTCTATAGGAGCAAAAGGTGCCAAAAGTGCAGAATCACTCCAGCATCCCCTTAATGTGAAAAAGAATAAAAACACGTTTATTTTTTAAATTGTACAGTATTTAGGTAAAAAGCAATTTCTTCTATTTTCTTCTCTTCGATATTTTGTAAATACGCTTTTTATCTAAATATAAAATTATACAATTTTATATATTTGAAATTTTCATTTATCTTTCACGTAAATGTTTGCCATCCATAACAATTTTTATACATATACTAATATCTTGTATTTTTTTCATTGTGCATTATACTTAGTTTCTCTTGTTTTTAACAAAGATTAAGTTATACCAGAAGAATCTATGTATAAAGTTTGAAAATTTGTCTTCATCTCCAATCATCATCGCCTCCAATTACTTCTACGCATACAAAAATTTTGGAAGAATCTATAAAAGTTGAGAATTTCCCTTCAGAATTATGTTCATCTCCAATCGATGTTTATCACAATTACGCTTGAGAAGAATACGATATTAAATCTGAAGGTCTCCCTTCACCTTCAGATGATAAATCCTCAGATGACAAATAAAGACTCGCTAGCACTATAGTCACAGCAAAATACGTCTCTTCGACTACTTTGTTAATCAACAAAGAATATGTATAATGATATAATTTACCAATTTTATATCGTATAGTTCTGCATATCATATTAAAGCTATTTTACATTAAAGACATTAACAACAAATAAAAATGACATTTTATAATCAAGAGGCACGGTAGTGTCTCGCGCCAAGTATACGCGTAGCGAGTATGGCGAATATAGCGAGATTCACCATCTTCTTCCTTTCAATCCTTCTCTTCGAGCTCTCTTTGCATTCAGCAGATCGCATGCCAGCCGATTGTCAATTCGCGTGCTCGCTAATTCGGTTAGATCGGTCGGCGGGCGTCGGATCTCCTCGAGAGATGTTGCTCACTTTAGCGTCCACCCGATTCACTCGCACGCAGCCGTGCTCCGCGCGCGAGCCGATAAATCGCCCGAACATCCGGGTCCTAGTCATTAGATTCGAAGTTAAGATTGTGCCTGAAGGTACTCAAAATTTCCAAGGTGTTGCGCATAAATGTAGTTCAGGTTTTGCAATTAAATGCAGAATTTCTCTTTTGCTTGTACAATATTATATTTTGACCTCCTTTCTCGCTCTCTATAACTACATGCGGAACGGCGGTGATACACCTGCATAGTATACAACTTTTATATTGTATTAAATACACTTTACACTTCGTAACATCACCATTATCGTAAGAAATGGTATAACGCTCGAGAATATATAATATTTCGTCCTCCTCGTCAAAAAATATGTCTATCTCTGGTATCTAATACATTAAGATCATTGGTCCCACATATGGGTCTTCAAATATATAATATTTGCAACATACATATATTATGACATCTACAACTTAAACATTACACCCTCCTGGCATTTTAACGTCTCCGTTGATACTTTTTAACTTAAAAAAAAGAAAAAGAAAAGAAAAAGAAAAGAAAAAGATAATCTCCGAAAACAGAAGTCCTATACTTCGTTCTTAAAGTCAGGTACATCTCAAATAAACCCGGTAGTGGTCACCTCTTTTTCTTTTGCGGAATTTTTTTTTATATTACAAAACGTTGTATTCGTTGTAATATTCTTATAAATCTTCATTACGTCAAATTTATCATTTAATTACTATTATTAGTAACAAAGTTTGATATTATTATATCAAAAATGAACTTTGAGTGTACAAAAATCAATGCTATGTTGAACTATGTGAATATTTCTTTTCTATACGACAGTTGAAAAATTTTACCATTCAACTGCCATAGAAAAAGATATTTTGAAGGATATCTTTTTCATGAATTATTAGTAAACGTACAAAAATAAACAGAATATACCGCGTATTTTTGTATATTTTTATCATACTAGTTTTAATGCAACAAATAATTTTGAAACGTATTATTTAACATCAATAATAATCGTTCAATGTCTGTAAAAAAATATATAATTTAAAGAATTCCGTAATTCCATCATATAACTCTTGGATTATGATGGTTGATAATCTATTTTTTGCTCTTTAGAGACAAATGTTAATTTTTCTCACACACAAATGTTGTGTTTTTGTCTTACACATAATATACAAAGATCCGTTAATTGCCGAGAAACTTGATATTCACGACGTTATCTAAGAGCTCCATATTTTCGAAGAATATGAATTTCTGGTGGAAACTATATTGGTGAATTTTAATTTTTATATTTTTTGACTTCTCAGTATGACTTTTGATTCTTTATTTAGAAGTAGGAATATATTTTGATTATTATCAACGATCGATCTCAATCGTGAATATTTGAAAATTTGCTGCATGTTTACGTTTGCAGTACCGAAGTACAATATATTAAAATCATTGCACAAATTTTAATGAAATTATTATAAACCTCCCACAAAGAAAAAAGAAATTATTGTCTGCTGTTTAGTGAAAGTGTCACGGTATTTAAATCTCCTGCGA